CATCAACACACCTCCGTCTCCACTCTTTTTTTCATCACCTCATTACACTGGGCTATCACCCCCTTGGCTCATCACCATCGCATAAACCATGAAGTAGTGGGGCGGGATCACCACATACCACTGACTATTGATCAAGCTCGCCGGGGCACGAGCATACTCCCCTTGCCAATGTAACACAAGGATACCCAGCTGCACAACCCCCACACCACCACCACCACCACCACCACCACCACGACCCCACCACCCCCACCACCCCCACTGCCACCACCACCCCACCTAAAACCCACCACACAACAACCAACCACCACACCACCACCATCCCCGACCACCACACCACCCCACTATCCCACCCCCCACGCCACCACCACTCCACCACCCCACCACTATCACCACCCCCACCACCACCGCCACCATTACCACACCACCCCACTCCACCACCCCCCCACCCCCACCACTCCACCACTACCAAACCACTCCCATACCACGCCACCACCACAAAACCCACAACCACCATTATCACCACCCCCGCCACCTTTACCACACCACCACAAAAAGCACCACCCCCCTGCCACCATACCAAAACCACTACCATCACCACTGCCACCACCATACAACCACCACCACCACTATCACCACCACCGCCACCTTTTCCACACCACCACCACTGCCACCACCACCACCACTACCAAACCCTACCATCACCACTGCCACACTTTCAACCCCTTTCCCCACCACCAATCCTCCATCGTTACCATTACCCCCATTTCAAAATGTAATTAAAAGTAATCAAAATGATATTTTGTCCCGAAATTTATTTAAAAATTTAAACAGCAAAAAATTAATTATTACAATTCCTAGCTTTTTTAACCTATAAATTATTTCTCTGTAAAAAGTATTATAAAACACACAAGGGAAATTTTTTTTCCGGGAAAAGTTGTATAAAACTGACAGAGAGATGCGAGGTCGTGTAGCTTGGGCAACAACTGAAAATGACGGGGTACAAAATTTTTTTGGTAGGGCGAGGCTCAGACATACGAATCTGGGGTGAGAGTATAAAAGTAGCACTTTATTTGGGTGGCAGAGATCACGAAACATTTTTTAATACGAAAAAGCAATGGAACACAGATTAAAAAATGTATTTTTTAGAAAGAAAAATATTTTTATGGGAAAGAAATTTTAAAAATTTGGCCTACTGAATAATTTAAATACACAAGACAAAAATTTAAAGTAGGAAAGACATCTGTGGCTCCCCCCAAGTAAAGTCCAGTTTTTTTAAAATTTTCTACTTTGATTAATACGAACGGGGGTGGGTGGCAAGACTTAAACCTGGTCTGGACTTAGCCTGGTCATGGCCCGGGGCCGGGGGGGCTTCCCCGGGAAAAAAACCCCCAGGTAACCCCCAGGAAACCATACAATCTTAAATTCAAATTCCACGTACGACGTTTTTGGGGGGAGTGACATGAAATAAGTTGGTCATAATCTGACAGTATTTAAAACAAAAATTTTTCCTTAAATTTTTTACAAATGTGAAATATTCTTTGATTCAAGATATACCACTTGAGTGATCTGGATAAATGCGCCATCATCTTTCCTCTCCATGGTTGGGATAATATCATTTTGTGAATAAGCAAAGTAACATTTCATCGCGCATTTTATTTTTTTTAGGTGGGGTGGATTTGAGGAACTCCATAAAAATATTTAAATGTTTATACCAAAGGGGCCGGAGAAGTCTCTTTATGTTTTATTCTTCTGATGTTTTTTTTCCACATGGAAGAAAAAAACCGGGGATCAATTTTTTCATTTTTCAGGGAATAGGGAGTTGAAACCTCGCTACATCAACCTGCATTTTAAAGGCCAGTTTTGGGCTCCCCGACGAAACGTGTTAAAAAATACAAAAACCCTGCACAAAAAAAAGGAGCCTCGACCCGTTTCGGTCCGATTTGGAACTTTTAGGTTTTGTGTTTTTTTTGTTTTCTTGTTCAAAAGTCAGTAAAATCCAGCTAGCCTAAAAATAGCATCAGAGATTTTTTAGCAGTGGGCACTGCAATTTTACAAAATTCCCTCTTCTTTCCTAAGATATGCCAGCCCCTGGGGTAAAAAATACCTCATTTTTCAGTGTATATAATGACGCAAAACCAAAAAACACATCAAAAGGGGCCTTTTAAAAAAACCCCGATTACTTTATTTTTTGTGAAATAAGACCTATTTGGGTTTTGGGGGTGAGCAAAATGTTAAAAGAGTTTTTTTGCCTTGAAGGCTTACCAGCCCTGTAAAACTTCTAAGTTTTACTAAGCTGGCTCCCCCTGGGAAAATTAAATGATAAAAAAAAAATAATAACAACAAACTAAACACTTTATTAATAAAATTTTAAAAATATAAAACACTTAAATATGAAAATTAACCTAATTAAAGAAAATAAAAATAAAAATAAAAATGAAAATTTAATTCAACGCAAAATATTTTAAGGGGTGTCTGGTTTTTTGGTGACACTGTGTTGTTG